AGTTCCCACATGAAAACGGCTTTTCACCAGTGTGAATCCTCATGTGACTAATTAAATACGATTTGCGACTAAAACTTTTTCCACAGTTCCCACATGAAAACGGCTTTTCACCAGTGTGAATCCTCATGTGACTAATTAAATACGATTTGCGACTAAAACTTTTTCCACAACTCCCACATGAAAACGGCTTTTCACCAGTGTGAATCATCATGTGCCGAGTTAACTCCTTTTTTCCCCTAAAACTTTTTCCACAACTCCCACATGAAAATGGCTTTTCACCAGTGTGAATCATAGTATGCCAAGTTAAATCCCGTTTTCCCCTAAAACTTTTTCCACAGGTCCCACATGAAAACGGCTTTTCACCAGTGTGAATCATCATGTGCCGAGTTAAAAGCCTTTTTTGACAAAAACTTTTTCCACAGCTCCCACATGAAAACGGCTTTTCACCAGTGTGAATCATCATGTGCAGAGTTAAATCCGGTTTTTGACTAAAACTTTTTCCACAGCTCCCACATGAAAACGGCTTTTCACCAGTGTGAATCATCATGTGCCGAGTTAACTCCTGTTTTTGAGTAAAACTTTTTCCACAGCTCCCACATGAAAACAGCTTTTCACCAGTGTGAATCATCATGTGCCGAGTTAAATCCCGTTTTTGACGAAAACTTTTTCCACAGTTCCCACATGAAAACGGCTTTTCACCAGTGTGAATCCTCATGTGACTAATTAAATATGATTTGTTACTAAAACTTTTTCCACAGTTCCCACATGAAAACGGTTTTTCCCCAGTGTGAATCCTCATGTGAGCATCAAAAACAGATTTGAAAGGGAAACGTTTTTCACAGATGACACATGAGAAAATCTTGCATCTTTCCTGATTTTGGTTCTCAATTTCAGCAGCTTCCTGGAAGATGACTTGGTTCCTGTTTGGTTCTGATTCAGTGTGGGATGTTTGCTCATCAACAGGATCCACCATGCAGGTATCAGTCTCCTGTTTTAACTCAATCTGTTCTTCATCCTGACTGCAGTAAACTTCTTTCTCTTCCACTTTTATCTGCCGATGTTCTAGATCCTCTTGCTCTTCTTTTATCTGCTGATCTTCTGGTTCTTCCTGTTCTTGTTTCACCTGCAGAGGTTCTAACTCCTCCTGGTCCAAAGTGGATCTCCTCTCCTGGTTCCTTTGTTCCTCCTTAACGTTATGTAGCAGGTAATCTGGATAAGAAAACAGAAAAAAGGAAGAATTGTTGACTCTTTTGAATCACCAGATAGAGTAGTGGTGCACCGACTGCAGTATTCTGGCTGATTGCTGATTACAGATTTTTAAAAAGTCTCACCTGCCGATTCCTATTTTGACTGATGCCATTCTTTCTGTCTGAAATGTCACTAAATATAGCAGAAAAGTCGCTCAGTTGACAAATGTGAGGTGACTATTGTTAACAGCGAACGTGCAGACATGACCTGGTGGGCCGGTCTATCAGTCAATCCTCTCACAGGAGAGCAGAAGAGTAAGTGGTTGATTTTTAGGCTTTTGCTGAAGCAGATAAGATCAGTGGATAAAACTGGTTTCACATTTAAGTATCTGCTGATTACTGATCTCCCAAACTTAAGGAAATCGGGGCCAGTTAATCGGCTAATTGATAAATTGGTGCACTTCTGAAAAAGAAACCTGAAGATTTAAGAGTGCAAATCAACAGTTCAGTCAAGATAATCAGCTGATATTTGGAGAATTCTCAAATAACCAGATTTTTACAAGTTATTTTGTCCTCATTTTTATTACCATGAAACTATTTATTGTAGGCATTAATGTTAACAGTACATATTATATATTTTTAAATGATTATATATGTTATTTTATGCTGCTTATATCACTAACCCTATGCTGCATTGTCTCTACAGTAGCTTGTATTCATAACACTTGAACTTTTCCATATTTTGTCACATAACAACCACATACATAAATCATTTCAGTAAAGTTTTATGGTTAAGACCAACATAAAGCAATTGTGAAGTAAAACTGACCATGTGAACTTTGAGACATTCCAACACATGAATGTTTTGTTTTAAACCATCGCATTGTAGCCCTGGCTTTATGTTTAGAGTGGTTTTC